TAGAAATCGATACTTTAATCGCACGCTCGTACCGATGATATCGAGCAGAAAATGAGAGCGTAATCTCGTGAGCGTGATCGCATGCGGAACAAGTCGATTATTCATTATGCGAGCGCTATATGAATCGTTTCGACGTGACGATGCGGCGCACGCAATGGCACTTCCCGATCTGTGCCGATCTCGGTTAATTATACGATAAATATTTCCTAGATGCGAGATTAGATTAAGTTTTGATATGACGCTGTGATGCGCGCGCGGTTCATGATGCCGGCTGCAGTGAATTGCGAGTGATTGCGATTATATACGTGCCGACGATGAGCCACAGTGTCGTCACGCTTGCCGGCCGACCTTATAATTGCGGCCGCGCAGATACAATCGCTTATAACTGCTCCAATAGTTTTTACGCGTAAATCATTGCACAGCTCTTCTCTGACTAAGCAAATGAATGCCAGTAGTGTGATGCGATCTTAACGGTTATTAGGTTTCAAAAGGAATCTCTCTTAAGCTTCAATAGGATATTGTCACGTGATTGTGTAGGATATATTATCAGCTCTTACTAATAATATCAGTTTTTAATAATATTGTTAATAATAGAAATGCAATCAAAGATAAAAAAAGGAGCAATTAAAATGTCGATAATAAATAAATATACAGCATAAATAAATATAATAATATGATAATTCTTTCAACAAGTATTTAATGAGTGCAGAATTATATTAAATTGTATATGAAGCAATTGTTGAACGCGAAATAATTTCGACATTAAAATGATGTGATGGATTTTCCAACTCTGAATTTTTTAATTCAATTCCACATATTGTATGATTTTTGTAAAATCCAATCGTAATAACGTGTATTATTGAAAATGCTACGTTAATAGTGTCCGCGCGGGGCAACTTGCGAGGCAAAGTATCGAGCAATCGAAAATTTGGCCACCTTTTATCAGAGACTCAACTTATTCCGCTTGAATTCTTAATCAAAGATCGGTGTGCCTTGGTAACAGCCACCTCAATCCCGCGGTTTGCTGAACATCCACTCGAGTGGGTCGGGTTCCCTTCAACCGAAAAGACTTGCCGCAGAAATTTTCCGAATTTTCGTTCAGCTTTTGCGAGCCGATGGCGATAAGGTATAATTTTCGCATTATTATATTACCATCCCGATATTTTATAAAATTACATAAAAAATTCCCCATCTCTTTTCAATACAATAGCGTAGAGCGAAGTGGAATATCACCGGGGCGGAATGAAGATTGGAAACGTCCGTTCTAATGTTTACATTTCATTTCGTAATTAAAAACGCAGCAATTAATTTTAATCAAGCGACGCGCCAGATGAAAAAGGCACTGCGCCGGCGCGTTGATTTTTAATCGCTCGCTACTTTTTGTACTCTCATTGCGGTTGCACCCGTATTTACCGTATCCACCCCGAAAATGAACCGTTGTCAAGGGAGTGCCATTTGTACCGGAAATGTGTATATAGTTCGACTACACATTAGAGGCACGCGCGAACGTGCACGCTCGCGCGGCGGCCCACGCTCGACGTTAATTTCATTGTTCTGTTTATTTCTCGTGAATGAAATTAAAATAGCTGCTTCTCGGACACGAGGGGTCCTGACGGACGGACGGACGGACGGACGGGACGACGAAACGGATGGTACGCGAAATGGGGAAGGGTAAGGGCTATAGTCCGGGAGGTAGAAGGACCTTATTGCGACTCCACCTTTTTAATTAAAGTTTGAAACTGAAGTGGAAAGCGCATGCGAGAGAGCGCCGCTGGTGCTCTCGAGGCGGGAGAAGCACGGCACATAAAATAGTCAAGTGTAGCTTTCCCAGCAGTGAGCACTGTCATCTCGCTTGTTTAACATTCTGTCCATTATAAAATGAGTGGCTGGCCGAGTCGACCGAATATCTCGCTGCTGAGGGGATGTAATTTCTGGAAACATGTAATTTACTAGTAGGTCATCATGTTTATAGTTGACCTATTCTCCGACGGTGCAGAAGCAAACGGAGAAAAATTATCGGAGAGAATTTCTTGTCGATGTACGGAATGACTGCTGCATACGTCGTCGAACAAAAAAATTAAAGCGGCCGGTAGCTTTAGAATGGTATTATCTTTTTGCTATCGCTTCGTCGAAAGCGGATCACGTATATAGAAGACCGACATAAACACGCGCGCGACTAGTGCAATCTGCACCGGTGTCTCGTATCTAATTCGCTTTCTTAAGCTTTATAGCGCTATTCTATTGTCTACGGGCACCATTAATTTCGCTAATGGTTAATCGATAGACAGGCGAGTTGTGGGTACCATCCTACGGTCGCAGTTCACGTGTAATTGTACGGATTCGAGCGATCTGCAGGAAGCAAGAAGTACAATAAAGCTACAATAAAGGTACTCGGCTGGGAGTGCTCTATAGCTGTAGGAACGGCAGTCGGTAGTTAGACACCTGTTCGCGGCGCAGACTACATACAGCGACGTACGGGCTGTGCGCGCGCGTGTGTGATCGTTGCGCGGGGAAAATGAGAAAAAGGCATCGTGACGAGAGAGAGAGAGAGAGAGAGAG